ATGAATGAACAGCGTGACTTGTTATTTTCATTGACGCCGTGTTATCTCTGTTCTGCCCGACACGCCTCGGCTGTGTGCACTAATTTTGTTCTGAGATGTCGTGTACGGGTGTTGAATACGAGTGTGTGTGTGTGTGGTGTGCGCATAGATTCTTATATTCAGGAGCCTATATACATCCTANAATCCGATTACCTGTGTAATATTAATTCCGTTAACTGTACTTATTTATTCCGTTTACTTGCTATACTAGTTCCGTTTACCTGTCTATACTAATTCCGTTTACCTGTGCTATACTAGTTCCGTTTACCTGTGCTATACTAATTCCGTTTACCTGTGAAATACAAATTCAGTTTACCTGTGCTACACTAATGCCGATTACCTGTGCTATATTTTATCCCGTTTACCTTGCTATATTAATTCCTTTACTTGGTTATATTAATTCCGATTACCTGTGCTATACTAGATTCCGTTTACCTGTGCTATACTAATTCCGTTTACCTGTGCTATAATCAATTCGTTTACCTGTGACTAATTCCGTTTACCTGTGCTATATTTATCCCGTTTGCCTGTGCTATACGAATTCCGTTTCCTGTGTTATAGTATTTTCGTTTACCTGTGTATATATGATTTCCGTTTACCTGCGTTTAATCTAGATCATAGATAAATAATAGATTTCGTTGCTTCAAAACCACCGGAATTCCCAATCTTTAATAACAGGTTTTAAAATGTAGAATCAAACCCTTCAAAAGTGTTCAATTCTGTAGAAATGAAGCCAATAAGTCATAATTTTGGCTTGTATCAAAATGGCGTCTATCTTTGAATTTTCACGCTATGCAGTCTAAAAAAAAGAAAATAAAAAAAGAAAAAGAAAAGAAAATGGTGATAATAATCCTAAAATGAGACATATAGGATGGACAGAAAATGTATTATATCTACGTCTGATTATTCTCTCTATGTATTCTAAAAGAAAATGAAAAAGAAGAAAAAAGAAAAAAAAGAAAAAAAAATGATAATGATGATAATGATGATAACCATAAGACAAGACGACAAAAGGATTGTGGAAAACTGTATTTAATTGTAATACACAATTCCAAAATGCAAGAGTATGCATTACTTTATCGGAATCACGTGATTTTGATGAAGATTTTCGTAAAGGAACAGTGACTCTGAAATGAATTAAAGATAATAATGAGATAGAAAAATGAGTAAATAGAATAATGATGATATAAAGAGAATAATAATGATAATGATAGTGGTAAGATGATGATGATGAAAATAACAATAATAATGACTGTGATAATGAGGATAATGATGAAAATATGATCATGAAATTAATAGTAATATTAGTTTTAATATATATAAAAGTAATAAAACATTGATATATAA